TAGGAATATGTGTAGACTTTCTTCTGTCCTGATGTTAATGGGGAGCTCGTTCCATCATTTAGGAGCCAGGACAGCAATCAGATTTTGTTTAGTGGTTAGCTCACAGTGAGGGAGCAACAAGCTGATTGGCAGGTGCAGAGCGGAGTGGACAGGCTGGGGTGTAAGGTTAAACCATGTCCAGGATGTAAACTGGGCCTGATTCGTTCACAGCACGGTACGCAAGTACTAGTGTCTTGAAGTGGATGTGGGCAGCCACTGGTAACAAGCGAAGGGAGCGGAGGAGCAGAGTAGTGTGAGTGAACTAAGGCAGGTTGAAGACCAGTCGAGCTGCTGCATTTTGGATGAGCTGCAGAGGTTGGATAGCACTATGCAGCCAGGAGGGAGTTACAGTAGTCTAGGCGTGAGATGACCAGAGCCTGGACTAGAACCTGTGCCGCCGAGTGAGAAGGGGACATATTATGCTGATGTTGTGCAGCATTTATCTACGCGAGCGCCGAGCGGGTTGTTGCAGCAGTGTTGGCGGTAAGGAAGAGTTGACTCGAGTGTTGCACCCAGGTTCCTTTCGGTCTGGGTGGGGGCTGAGGAAGTGAAATAATTAATGGAGACAAAGAGGAAACCTGTGACGGAACTCAGTGAGGGCAAGTGGTTGTGTGGTTTGGCTTTCATGGTGGATATTACCAAGCACCTCTCAGAGCTGAATTTCATGTCCTGAGGCCCCAACAAGCATCTCAGCCCTCTTCTTTCATTAGGGCAAACATTTGAAGGTGTGGAAGGTGCAACTGAGAAGGGTCAACAATGACCATTTCTTACTCTGTATGAACAAAAGCCTGCTGTGACATCGGATTATACTAGTGAGTTTGAAAAACACCTTCAGGCACTCTGGGAGACGTTTCAGGACATGAAAAGTAAACAAAAGCAAATGAACCTAATTCTAAGCTGTTTAATGTGGAACCAGCGGATTTTCTGACAACATGAAATCAAGCTGCAAAGCAACAACAAGCTTAAAGCTGCGGACAACGACCTCCCTCTGCTCAAGTTCTACAAGGTCTTTATTTCTTAAACATAGAGTGGATCATTGCCAGAATTAACTTGATTATGTTGGTTTACTGATTGATAGATCTTTAATGCTACTGCCCACTGACATGGTTTTCATGTTGGACCCCCCTGAATGTCTTACAATGCCTGGGACTTTTAGCTTGGTTTTTGGAGCTTTTTTCTATAACCCTGTCCACATCTATAACGGTGGCATTGCAACAAAGTAACTCATAGGAGTTTTTTTCCTGATAGAAGGTCATCATAATCATAATAATTTGTAAAATATAGGGTGAATTTGGGTAATCTGGGACATTAGGTAATGTGGGACACCTAAACTAGTATTTCTGTGAATTACTGAATAAATAAACTGTTATTGTTATTTTTGCTTGCTGTTGATTGATTTGTTTTAGATTTAGATTGTGTTTTTTTTTTTTTTATGGGATACACCTTTAATAGAATGTTTTAAATAAATTGTATAGTTTCCTTATGAAAAGAAATATGACTTTAACATGTTAATATGAATTAATGCGTTTTTATGAATCATATTTTCTTATTCAATTTCTTAGTCATTTTTTCATAATGCTTTCAAAAGATTAGTAATATTGAGCTTGTCGTGCATAAAGCAAGGTGACTGTGTGTCCCAGATAGCTCTATTCTTTCTTCTGGTGCTGTTAGAAAATATCTGAGGAATACAGAAAGTTATAATGTGTAGTCGTAAAATTCAAAATTTGCTACAAAAATGTCCCACATTAGCTGAATTCACCCTAAGTCAAATATGACACAAGGTCACTTATTGACCTGAGAGACATGTTCTGGCCCTTCCACCATAGAACCTGAAGCTAACCCCGGTGTGACGGAACCTTTGATTCTACATTGTGATTTCAGTCATTATTAGATAATTACATAATTCAGCTGGAAATAATACACACAAATAATAACAGGCAGTCAAGAGTGTGGCTGTGCCTGTAATTACCTTGATTCATTCTTGTGTTTATCTAGAGTTATATGAAGAATGAAGCTTTCAGAGAAACAGTGTCGAGTTGGCAGGACTAATATTCAGAGTAATCTGAGTGTCAGCACACTTTACTCTGAACACTCGTTTGTATCAACGTAGAAAACATCTTGGAGTGGAAGCATTTGAACTTGTTCGCGTTATTTGAGGCGAGGCTCAAGTAATCCCCACCAAACCTCATTAAGCTATCAGTCCGTTTAGGGTTTCTCTGCTCGTCAGTTCAGGCAAAACACGTGGTGGAGAATAACTTCAGACCTGTGGATTCAGTTCGGAGTAACACGTCATTCGGCCGATTCTCCAACCGCAGATCAGTGATCTATCGCATTTCACAACATGACACCAACATCTTCTCCACACAGGACTGAGATTTACAATGCGACAGCAGCAGTTTATGTCAGTCTGTAAATGCTGGTGTCCTGGGTGTGATCTGCCTCTATCACGTCAGCCACACACCAGAGACACATTCCAGCTGTTGTTTTTTTTCACACTTTTCCTTCCAGCTGTTTCAGCAGTTACCACCCAGTGCGCGCACGGCGTGCACAGGTCGCCTCAGTGTAAATTGGAGTTGGTCAAAGTGAAGCTTCGTTGTGTCACATGCTCCTATCAACACTTTCGTGTTTGAAGCAATCAAAGAGTAAGTTACCTGTTAACAGCGCGATGGGCACCAGGAAGCAGTAGAAGAGCCACACGATCACCTGGAGATCCATGTCAGTGGGACGAATACTCTCCAGCGATCACCAAGCGCACATCAGTAACTACCACCGATCACGTCGGCTGACTCAATCGGCTCCATATAGGCTTGTTGATTAAATGAGATCGAAGAATGAATATGCCATTAGGTCGATGTGCGCTCATGGTGTCTCGTGAAAAAGACAAAAACAAACTTCAAGAGGACCAAAGTTTCCATTAGTCCATCGTGTCTCTGAGCGGACCGGGCAGCTCCTCTCTGGAACTGTGAGGGAGAAAAGTTCAGTGCGTGTGTTCCCTCGGAGGGGCCCAGTGTGTTGTAGGTGGAAAATGTGATTCACAGGCAAGTGAGTGTGAAGGGCGTTCATAGAGGAGCTATTCTCCACCGAGCTGCTCTGTGAGAGTCACCTCCCTGCTGCTGCTCACAGGCTGTCAGCTGCTCACTGCAGACATGCGTATGCAGCTATACTTCACTGATGCTGCTCTTTTGGTATAAACTCAAATAAACTCTGCTTGTTTAAACACTGACACCTGAGACAAGACCCCTTCAGTCAGTAATGGTACTAGAATGGGGTCTTGGAGCCCCGGTAAGCAGACACTACCTGGCACCCCAAGAAGTTGCATTCTGTGTTTGAGTGACGTCCCCTAGTGGACAAAGAAACTCTGTAAAACATGGTGCCTGAGTTTGTGGAGGTGGAAAGTCAATAGGAGGGAGTCAACACATTTCTTTTATGTTTGAATGTGCCTTTCATATTAACCATCAGAAAATGGTGAAGACATTTTAATCCTGTCATACTCTCACACTCACTGTATAATGGTGCCCGACGACTAATCTACCAGAGCAGGAGGAAACCTGAGGGAGTTGAAGTGATGATTATCATTGAGTACTGCTGAAAATGGGGATATTTCTGTGTTAATGAGGAACTTGAATCTTGTGGGTGCTCCAGTTAATCCATTTGACTACGATCAAACGAATGTTGGCTGGGTGTATCAATGTATGATAATCTGCTCATATTCTTTGTCTCGAAATAATATGTAAAATAAATCGACACTTTCTTCTGTCCACAAAGGACACATTTTATTTTCGGACATCAATGCACATGTAAATAAGGCAGAGCCAAGGACACAACAGTAGAAAACTGAGTGTGTTACAATGAAAGGAATTTAAAAATAATAACAGGTTGTTGACAGCTTGTTGTGCCTGGAGAGATAACTGCAGTATTCCTGAGCTGAGCCATTGATCATGACCTGTGAGGGAATGTGATGCTCATCAAAAAGGATTAATCATCTCCTTCTTTTGGGGCCAATCACTTTCAACCTATAGCTGTTGGACCAGGATAGAATTCATTTCAAATGTCATGTTAATTTGTAACAAAGCTAATATGTTTGGCTCAGGTGACATGCTCTCTAAGATTTTGGGTAAAATATAGATTAGGTACAATGTCAATATTTGATCACACATTCTCAGTTGCAGAGGCTGAATTGAAGAGTTTCTAATGTGCTTGCAGGGCCCAGTCTGTTGCCCTTCATTCATGTTTCCACATCCTTAGCTTTAGAACAGTGTCATGCTTAGTCAACGCTCTCTAAAATATTCTGTTGTTCTTTAAAATGACTAGTTTAGATTATAGGGCTCTATAACGCTCTCTATAATCCCACGATGACTGAGTTTACAGAGGGTATGAAGGTGCTGTGACCCAGTTTTTAAGAGAAGCAAATAACATAATTTTCAAGCCTGATGTAAATAAGTAGAGGAATAATCCTCTTCAGTGTCAGAACAGATGAATCCCTTTCAACAACAGACTGCTCATCCATTATATCGTCCATCATCTCTCACAGTCACCTGTGGGTGTCAGCCTGTCATATTGTTACTATACATAGTATAGTGTGGGAATGATGCATGTATTATGCATTGATAGTTGACTTAAAGGTCCAGTGTGTAAGATTTAAGGGAAAGATAAGTATAGGCAGAAATTCAATGTAGAATAATCCTCATGATGTTTTGTGTTTCACCAGTGCATTTCATCTAAATTGTTGTTTTCTTTACCCTAGAATGGGCTTTTATATTTAAATACTTTATATTTGCATTGAGGGAGTCTTTAATATCTTTACACTATTTAAGATAAATCCATGAGAAATAATCAAACCAACTCCAGGAAAGATGTTTACTGATGTTTAACTTGTTACAAATAACTGACTCATCATTACGTCCCATCCTGTTGCTCGGAACATGTTCCGGAAGAGGTGTGGCTTTATTGATTTCGCGCGAAACTTAGTTTCTCCTTCCTGTGAAGTGTGGGTACTTCCGGTTTTTTTGACCCATTGTTGACGCTCGGTATTTATATCTCCGCAGGTTGCGTTGTGAGTAGAGTTCCTCAGTTTGTTATCGCTCCTGCAGTGGAAGCAGCATGTCTCAGGCCCGGGTCACGGACTTCTTCTCCCAGAGAAAGAGCGGCACCGCTCACCCGGGGAAAGCCGCCAAGCCACGCAGCCGAGGCTCCTGTGCTCTCAACACCGGCGTCACCAGCAAACGCACAAGGTCTGTGAAAAATAAAGAAGCGCCTCTCTGTTCCTCCTCTGTCCACGAAGAGTTTGTCCGAGTTATCGACGAGGCCGCGGGGCTGAACGATGGGGAGTCTACCGGCAGCAACGCCGCGACGCGTCCCCCCTCCAGTCCCCGGACACCGAAGAGGACCTCGGCCGACGCACAGTTTGACCTCGGGGCTGCGGTGTTGTCTGCCACCGCCGATCACAGCACGGCCAAGAAGAAACGACAAGAGCAGGCCGTCAGAGAGGCTGCGGTCCCGGAGAGAACCAAGAGGAGGACGGCCAGGAAGAAGCTGGTTCTGCCTCAGGACTCACCGCAGGTAAGATCAAGTGTTGCTGTTTCTGTGAAGGCTTGTCTTTAAAGTTGAATTGACACAAAGATGGCAGCCGAAACAAACAGTCCACCTACTTTAATGTGAATGTGTACTTTTATATGAAGTATCAAGAAAACACGAAACCCACACCCTCTGTAACTTATAATGCATTTCAAAGTTACAAGTGCTGATAAATTCGTGTTTAGGCTGAGATGTGCCTGTACATGTTACCTGTACACCTACTAAACTCAAAATCAAATTAACCCTGGTTCTAATTTGCAAACCTACTCAATGAGTAATGCTCACAGTATGGACAGGAGCAATACAATGATTTGTGCTAATCATAATTAAAACGTCTATGTAAATGAAGACCCGGCCAAAGACTTTACTTAGTTCTGTGTGTTGTGTATTTCAAGAAGGCAGCTCAGCCCCCGGCCAGTGAGGTGACCCCACAGCCCCCGTCTCCAGCAGCCTCCGTGTCAGGACACAGTGCTGAGAAGCACACAGTCAGCTGTGGGAACACTGGGGGACAGACCAGCAAGGTAACATCAAGTTTGTTTGGACTGATGAGTGTGCTCTGTGGGTCGCCGACCCAAGCAGAGTGTTGTTGTCACATGCAAGGCTGCAGCATGTTGTGGTAATACTAAATAATTATATTAGAAACTGAAGAAACTACACTAGTATAGTTGAGTGCCATCTCCCATCCCCTTAAAATCCAAGCGAACTTGGTAGATTGCTCTTGTGTGTGTATACATCATGTATCCACCTACATGCACCTCTCTGTATGTGGAATGCATATCCTGAAAACTGTTCATCTTTATCGGCTTCACAATATCAGTGGTGCAGACGAGCAGCACTCTGTAGCAGTCAGTGGGGGGGTGGCAGCATGCTAACAGATAGTCTGAGGACTGAGTTGTGAATCCTGTAGAGGATCTCCTACTATGTTCTCACATCAGCTCCTCCAGAATTTCTGCATACTTTATATTAACCAGGGGTTCAGAAAGAGAAAGTCTGCTCTCTGAGGGGGGTGCATTCACACATACAGCCCCTCCAGAGAAAGTGCAGAGGATCTCTGGGGTTCATTCCATGTATAAAAACAGATATACAATCTCTTCCTCCATATCAAGTTGTCTTAAAAGTACAAGAATAATGTCCTTTTTGCTGCTGTAAAGCTTTAAATTGAGCAGAGCTTTTATTTTGTGAAGTTGGTTGTGAAATTTGCTTAACAGACATCTGAAATAGCTGATATGAAATGTATTTGTATAAAACAAATTTAGTAAATCATTCAAGCTTATATATAAACCACACATTAACAGTAATGAAGCAGTTCAGTTTAATTTTATGAAAAGCATTGGTTGCAAAGTCTTCATTGCTGGATTTCTGTTTTCCAACTTCACACATAATATACTGTTTATAAAATGCTTTCCACACAAACAATAAAAAGGTGACAGTATATTATAGACCTGTTTAAGGAGGAGTCACTACTCAAAGACAGGTTTAGAATGGGAACTGCACCAGTCTTGTTACTGAGCTTACATTTACAGTGAAATACTCAGGTACTGGTTTCAGATCAGGCTTGTGTTGCTTATTCTCTTCCTACTGCAGCAAGATATCAGTGGACCAACATTGCTGGGAAGCTGATGTATTTAAAGCGATTCAATTGTTGTGTGTTATTCTGTATTTCTCATACTATCACTAAACCCAATGTGTTAGTCTAAACAGCTACAATGACATCTTACAAATGGTTTTTGAACAAAATGAGGCTCTGTGGCGCTGAGAAACGAGAAATCAGACATTACTTGTTGGCGGGATCCATTTCTTCCAGGTTTTACTCTGTACAAGGGATTGATTAACAGGAGAGATTATCAAAGAAGATTATCCTTCCAGTCATTAATTCATCAGCATGTCAATACCCTCTTTCTGTCAGGCTCTTTCTAAAGAAGATATTGCGGCCCTCAAGTCTCGCATTCAGAAGATCAAGAAACATGCAGAGGAAATAACCAGAACAGCTTCAGTTTCCAATTCCTCGTCTCCAGCTGGCCCAGCACCCAACTGTACGAAACCCATTGACCCCAAAACCACTACGTCCCCCATCACTGATGCAAAGACCGTTGAGCTCACTGTTGCACGAGTCAAACAGCTTGCAGCTAAAGCGCAGAGAAGAAAGGGGGAGAGAGAGGCAGAGGAGAGCGAACAGAGTGAGACAGTAACCCAGGGCAGGTGAGCGCATATACACACATGCAAGATAAAGCTTTAAACAATACCAATTTTCACTGTGCAGATGGCACGTTACATCTCCTCTAATGTCACAATCTAGTGTCTAAATCCAAATCCGGGACCAAAGTGTTTTTGCCTCTCTCGTCCCTCAGTGCTGAGCAGCCAGCGTACCAGCGGTACCACACCCTTGCCCAGGCAGCCCCCCCAGGCCTCACCCTGCCATACCAATACAAGGTGCTGGCTGAGATGTTCAGGAGCATGGACACTGTGGTTGCCATGCTGCACAACCGCTGTGAGACGGTAACCTTTGCCAAGGTCAAACAAGGAGTTCAGGACATGATGCACAAGTAAGTGGAGGATGAAGAGATGGTCTTGTTGTACTCCTCAGGCTTAAAAGAGGTTGAGTGTTTCTGTTAACTGAAAATCAGTTAACTCTGTGAGTCACAAGGAGTCAGAATTCACACGAGGCAAATAAAAACGGGATATTTTACAATTGATGTGCAAAGGAACAGTGGAATTTGCTTGCCGAGATAGGGTCTACACCCCGACTAACCACCTCATTCCGAGAAATCCTAAAATGTGTTGACTTCACTGGTGTTTCTGTGTCCTGTTGTTTGTCAAAGGAAATGTCTGAGATTTTGGAGCAATTAGAAACTGGCAGGGAAGAAAAACTACATTGTTAAGCCATTTTAGAGAACTTGTTAAAACATTCTGCTGACAACATCAGAAGTGAATTCTTTCAACTTAATTGTCTTCTATTCAGTGGCCATGAGACAGACACACGCACACACACCGCTGCTCATGTCTGAGCAGTAAACACTGCTTTATTAACCCAGAAACTAATGTTTGCATCCTGTCTTTCTTCTTTAGGAGGTTTGAGGAGAGCCACGTTGGTCAAATAAAGACAGTGGTTCCTGAAGCCTACACATTCAGACAAGAGAAGAACATCCCAACCTTCAACAGCAGCATTAAGAAGGGCAGCTACCAGCTCACTGTGGAGCCTGTCATTCTCTCTGGTTAGACAAAGCTTTCAGTCTTTCTCCTGCTCAAAATATTATGTTCACTTGTTTCATTTATTTTAAGTAAGAGCTCATCTTCTAATTGGTAAATAAAATGAGAAATGTATAAACTAAATGCAGCTGCCTTTCATTGGTGCACTTGATTATGTGTCCATTGCCCTTGTGTTTATTTTCATCTATTTATGCATGTGTGTATGTCTTTCTCAGATCAAAATGAAGCGCGTCCTGTCCTGTCAGCCTCTCGTCTCCTGGAGAGAAGACACATTTTCCACTGGAATCTGGTTGACATTGTCAAACAGCACCACAAGGTCAGCAGTTCCCCCATTACAGCTTTCAGTTGGACTCATCAAAGTCATTGTAAAACTTGTGTTGTAAGAGCTAAGTTGGCTGTCCTCACTGACACATGGGGAAACGTTGTGGTGTGTGCAGGAGTTCCTGTCTTCGATTGTACCTCCAGTGTCTGTCCCAGAAGACAAACTGACCCGCTGGCACCCTCGCTTCAATGTGGACACTGTCCCAGCCATCCTAACGAGCGCTCTGCCTCAGCCTCCTCATACCGAGAGACTAGCCACAGCTCAGGAGGTGCTGGATAAGGCCCGCTCACTCATCACACCCAAGGTACTGTCTACTTTAAGTTGACATATGACAGCTGTTTTAAAGGTGTTTTTTTATTTTGTCTGATATGAACGTGCTTCATTTTATACTTTGTGTGATGCACAAAGTAACTGGGTAAATACCTGGAGGCTCAGAGGTTTTCAGCACTAATTTATCCGGGTCAAATGGAATTTTTCTTTTGTCCTTTGTTCAGATGGAGAAGGCTCTAGTATCTCTCTCTCTGAAGACAGAAGATAAAGCTGTAGAGAAAGACCCAGCACCCCCTCCGACACCAGCTCCATCTGCTGCTCAGGTCCCAACTGCCCTGAAAGGAGTGTCTCAGTCCCTGCTGGACAGGGTAGGTACAGAATGACAAGGTGGAGGAGTTAGACCAGTTGTCATGGGGATCAGGGGTTGTCTATAACTACTGGGATGGAGTTGACTGTGCTTTATGGGTATTATAAGCATGGTTGAACCAGCCTTTGCCAAATGAGATCAGAAATCCCTGTTGTGGTTTTTCATACTCTTGCTTTGTGTGAATTATTTTTCGGTGTTTTAGATTCGAGCAAAGGAGGCCCAGAAACTCCAAGCAACCATGACCCGAAACCCTTCCCAGGAGGAGCGTCTGGTGATGATGTCACGCCTCGGGGAGCTGGCAAGGCTTCTGCGGATGGTTTTCGTGTCAGAGAAGAAACAGGCTTTAATCATGGAGGTGGCCTGTAATAGGATGGTGGCCAGCTACAGGTCAGCTCTCAGCACAGGTGGGTTCAAACAAAGGAGGTAACAGTAGAGCTGGATATGTGATTTAACTGTAGCTCATTATTTTGTTGTTTCGAAATTAGTTGCTGTTGTTGATAAAATTACTGTTATCTGATCGGCTGCTGCTCCTCTCTAATTAACAGGTGAAATGGAGAAGCATATTCGTCTGCTGGCAGAAGTTGCTGCTGATTGGCTGACTATCCATCCAATCAGGAAGGACTTCTACCTGAAGTTGAACAAGAACATGGAGCTCAGCTTGGTTCTGGACAAACTGAACAGAAGACTGAGTGAGGAGGAGAGACTCTGAGAGACTTCACATTCAGGCTGAAGTGTTGTGAGCCAACTACTTTCATGTGCCAGGTGATTAACATGTTCAGCAGTGTGTTTTGTGCTGATTTCAGGCTGTTGGTATAAAAAGATTCAGAGTGCTCTATGCAAAGTTCACCAGTGCTTCCTAATAACCTGGAGTCACACTGGACTGACCAGACTTGGTCTTTGTATACTCTATAAGCTCCTGTGTTGTAAACAGGCTGTTTTAACCACACTTGTGTTTTTTTGTTTTGTTTTTTTTTTCTTGATGAAAGTATAATATCAATGCGCACAGATCTGCATCCAGTCTTTGTTGGGATCAGTTTTCTAGAAAGAACAACTGAGTGTTTACATTTTTAAATTGCTGTTTGATAATGTTGAAATAATACAAAGGTTTGTCAAAATTGTACTGTCTCCCATTATTTTTCATGAATGCAATTAATTAAATAGAACAGTCTGTAAAACAAAGGCAAAATTACATTTATTATCTGGATTGGATGGTTAGTTTAGTTTAAATTTAAATTGAATTAAACTTCATAGAATCACATAAAAACGAACCAAATATGGACCAATCACATCACCGGAAAACAAGAGCCATCATTCTACATGATCTTGACAAATATCTTACAAGTTGAGAGTTGCAGTTAAATTTACTGGCCCAATGCTAAACTGCTGCTGTGGCCTGGACCGCTGGTGTTTTGTTACCCTTGTCACCAGGAATAAAAAATAACTCTTCTGGGGTTTAACGTGGAGCTTGAAACATGTAAAAACAAACAGGAAGGATGCTGTTCTTTTCTTCACTGCACCTAATCCCAGTTTGTAGGCTGCAGCTGACTATTTTTCTCACTGTATAGAGCATTTAGTTCTGTTCAATGCCTCCTGCGAGTTATGCTGAAAGAACTGACCTGTGAATGGGCCGACAAAGCAGAATCAATCATAGCTTTTGAAACTTCATACTCTGTAAGGGTGCTGAAAATATTACCCAGGCACCTCCACCTTCAGTGTGCATTGAACTATTGTGGTTTTCCACAGTGTTTCAAAATTAAGGAATAGTTATCTGCCATTGGTATGACATGAAGTAAATGAGCCTTAGCAACCCTCTGAGGTATCTTAAAGGTGATATTCCACCTGGCTGCCCCCTTCTGACTGCATCAAAAAGAATGAGGGGAAAAAAGATGGCCCACCATCCTCTTAACCCACGATATTGACGAAACACATTCCCAACGAGGAGAGTCTGAAACCTGTTCAGCACCTGGTGGGGGACACAGTTGTAGAGTGCTGCCTGTTGTCAATTCAATAACATTTTATTTGTATAGAACCAAATCATAAGGTTGAGACCTGAGAGAAAAAAAACTCATTAACTGGAAGAAACCTCTGGCAGAACCAGACCCAATGTGGGCAGCCAACTTGATGATTTACAAGGTCAACAGTTTCCATTCACCAAGTGACAAACACATTGTTGGAAAGACAGAACTGGAGGCCTCAGAAGAAGCTCTATTATGTCTGAGAAAATGACCAATAATGTGAATGATCTCTTCAGAGTTCAACATTTATGACAGAAAGCTGTTACAAATAGGGTCTAATGAAAAGACATGATTAAGTTACATGAATAGAAGAGTTAGCTGTGGCTGAGGGTAGAGCGGTCATCCTCTAACCAGAAAGTCAGCAGTTTGATCCCAATCCCCCCATCTGCATGCTGAAGTGTCCTTTGGCAAGATACTGAACCCTAAATTGCCTCTCGTAGAAAGGGTGCTGAACGTTTGTGAATGGAAATAGAATGTATCTTTGGGAAAGTGCTATTTCAATACAGAGCTTTTAGAGGACAGTGTTTTTTTTTAACCAACACTAGACTGAACTCACTATGATTTGGCATCTTTATGATTTGGTGCTATCCTGGCAATGGAGAGTGGTTTGTTTTTTCAAGAAAAATACTCATCTGTAAATTGTCTAGCCACAGCTGTGGGGAGAGAAAATGTTCAGTATAAAATATATGTACATATAAAAATACTGGAAACGAGTAAAGCCTAGGAAACAGGCTATGCAACTTTTAGTAAACAGGGCTGAATACAGCAATTATGGTAAATTCTAAAACGTTACATGAGAAGTAGCACAAGAGATTATTCAGAATGAACAAATTGAGTGAGTGAGTCAGTTAAGTTTGTTCATAGTCAACATCATCATCATATATCCATATAATTAAAGCTCATGGTAAACAACAATCTCGACCAAATATATTTAATATATCTCTGCAAATAAGAGACAAAGCTCTAAAGCTGGTATTGATCAGAAAATGCATCCAATAATACTACAGACACAACCCAAAGCTTGCATAGATTAAAAATAATTTATGATCATATAGCAGGAATGACATTGTCATGTTGTCAGTCTTATAATGCATTCACCTTTGCACATGCAGGGTAAGCATTGCACCTCCTTTGCTTATCAATATAAATTTTATTCTGTCATGGAATCAGTTTGTGATGAAAACATACAAACAGAAAAATAACAAGGACAAAGCTGAACACAGGAAGGTGCACCAGTAGAGAGAACACTGGTCATAGGTCAACTGTCAGCAAACAATGGATTTAAATACAACAACCTGAGATCTTATTATTTACCATTAACTTTCATTTCCCTTTTTCCTAAATTGAAATGTACCATTTTTCTCAGCACCAGTAAGTGATATCAGTGATATAATTAAATATACTGGAATAATTGTCGTAAACCGGTGGTCATTTAATATGCCACAGAGAATGGTTAACCTTTCTATCAGTCCCTCCCTTCAGCCATAAAGCTTCCATTTTTGGCACACAGGGGAACAGGGCGTGATCCCAGAGAGGAACAGGAAATTTAAGACATTCCCCAAAGCATGCATGTTACATCTCTGACAAAAATAGAAAACATACTGTATAAGTATGAAGTAAAACCTGTAAAAGTGTAAGTGAACTGCAGATGCTGTTTTACAACTGGTGACACTATGACTGGCTTGTTTCCAGCGAGGCAGCGGAAGTGTCCTCAGTATTGAACCAGGGAGAACACACTGTGAGGTTTGAGCTTGTCAATGCCGTTGAGCTCTTTGAGCTCGATGACCACCATGCAGCCCACAACTTCAGCCTGCTGCTTCCTCATCAGCTGAATGGCTGCATACATTGTCCCTGCGACACACAGAAATAAAAACAACTTGACATCATTCAGCCATGTGCTTCCATGACACTGAAAGGTCCACTGTGTAGATTTAGGTGAAAGGGGTCTATTGGCACAAATTGAATATAAAATAATCCTCATGATGTTTTCACTTGTTCCTTTCATCAAAATTGTATAAATTTTTGTTTTCTTTACCCAAGAACATGCCCTTTATATTTCAATACTTAAATATTTACATCAGGAGGGGGTCCTCTCTACTGAGACCGCTATGTTTTTTACATTAGTCCAGACTGGACAAACGAAACACCTTTTGAGTTTTTATGACAACTGAAGGTTTCCAGAGGTTCTTTTTCATGTTTGGAAGGAGAGGGTGAGGTGAGGGGTGTTCAACTTCACCACTAGCTGTCACTAAATTCTACACACTTACCTTAAACACTTTGATCAGGCTGAAAGTGGCGTCTATCTTCAGCATGAATCTAAAAACACACTTTAATTCTTGGTGGTCTAACACCTCACAACTCTCATCAATACATCAGAGTTACTACTGCTGCTCTGTAGATTGAGCTATATTTCACACTGATTTGTCTTTTAATTTTACGGAAGGCTGAACTGGGTAAATGCACAAGAATTATAAAATTCATAAATATAAAAGTCTCTACTTGTAGGCATCTCTCAGGTGATGTTTTAAAGTAAAGTTTGGTCATCGAACTAACAGGAAAAAATCATCTAAAAATCAAAGTGTCCTTTTCTTAATGACATCAATGTTTAAGGGATCCCTCCATATCTGAAAATGCACATTGCAAACTGCATAAACTGCATTGACCTTAAATACAAGCTGCTTCTCATCGATAACCTCCAGCTCCCTCTTTATCACATCATTGTTGCCGCTCTCTGGAGAATCTACCTGTGGCTGCAATGTTCCATATCCTCACCCCTCTCCTGCAGAGCAGTAATCTGCTTGATTGTCTGGTCAGACGTGTTCACAACAGAAACATTTCCAAAACATTACTTATAGCTCAGTGTTTTTGTGTAGGGCACAATGACACCGGCCCTTATCACCAAAAACTCTATCTCGTTGTCTTTCCAAGTTTACAGCTTTGTCAGTGTAAACGTATGGCTTCTCTTTGTCACCCTGTGATATTTATATTCTTTTAGTTTTATTCAGTTTTGCCTGGTAGAAAAGTCATCAATGCGCCAACTTTTTGGGACAGTTTGTGGACATTTGACTAGGGGGCTGACAGGAAAAGATCCATAAAATGTCTTTGGTACATGACTTGGACATTTGCATAACATACAGGCCCTCCAGATAATTTCAGGCCAATGTTCATCCATTCTCACAGTTTTGTGTTTAGTTTATAGAAATGTTCTGCAGTCAGACTGTGTGTAGTGATTTCAGAGCAGATCTCATCAGATAATACCTCCAGTTGCAAGAAGGTCATCGATGAGCAGAACCTTCTGTCCTGGAGCCACTGCATCCTCCTGGACCTCTGCCTCTGCCTGGAGAAACAAAGTTAAACTTACAGAAAAATGTTGGTGAAGCAGCAACACACTGAAGGAACAATTCAACAGCACAAACTGAGGTAACACTAGAGCAGTGCTCTCCCAGAAGATTAATATTAAGATTCTCCTTTATGGTCCCACACACAGCATGCAACATGCAAACATGGGGAAATTTGACCTCTGTATTTAACCCATCCGTGTGAACGGAGCACACACGGAACACACGGACCACAATCCACACAGTGACCACACACGGAACAGTGGGCAACTGGGGGGTTCGGGGGGTTCCTTGCTCAAGGGCACCTCGGCAGTGCCCAGGAGGTGAACTGGCACCTCTCCAACTTCTGTCCATGCTGGACTTGAACTGGCCACCCTCCAGTTCCCAAGCCAAGTCACTATGGACTGAGCTACTGCCTTCCCCTTACTTGTCCCTAAAGTCTTTAAAGTAGAGTAGGAGCCAGAGCTGTAAGCTGTCAAGCTCCTCTCCTGTTGGATCATCTCCCAGTTTCAGTTCAGGAGGCAGACACCCTCTCTACGTTTAAGAGTAGGCTTAAACCTTCCTTTAAGATAAAGCTTATAGTTAGAGCTGGTCCAGGCTTGTCTTAGACCTGCTTAATTATGCTGATATAGGTCTAGAATGTCAGGGGACACATAACACATGGAGGTTCTCTTTCCTCTTCTCCCTCCTTATCACATCAAATTAATTATTGTCTCATCAATACATGTTACCGACTTGACTTCTTCCCCGGAGTCCCTGTGCTCTATCGTTTGTGGATCCAGGGCCGCAGCTGCAGCCACATGTGGATTATGATGGTGGATCGCAAATCAGAGATCGTGATGGTAATGGTGGATCCTGTATCATGCTGGCATCAGATCATAGTGGTGGACCCTGATCAAGGTGACAGCTGATGGTGGATCCTGATGGCGGCAGTGGATCATGATGATGGATTGTGGACTATGGTGCCTTTCGATCATGATGGTGGCAGTGGATCATGATGGATTATGAAGGTGTATCCTAATCGTGGTGGCTGCTGATCGTGGACTGATGATAACAACAAGACTGCTTGACATACAATATGTCTACTCAGATACTCTACCATTACTGACAATAATTCCTCAATTCATTTACCTTCCATTGTGTTACAAACTGTTTACTCTAACCAATGCTGTAAGTACTCTTATTTTTCTGACGTTCTCCATTACATGTGGCATCTATTGCACTTCTATCCGTCCTGGGAGAGGGATCCCTCACATGTGGCTCTCTCTGAGGTTTCCAAGTTCTTTTCCCTGTTAAAAGGGTTTTTTGGGGTAGTTTTTCTTTATTCTTGTTGAGGGTTAAGCACAGAGGATGTCACACCTTGTTAAAGCCCTATGAGACAAATTGTGGTTTGTGAATATGGGCTAGACAAAACAAATCAGATTGATTTCCTTCAACCGTAAGAAATATATTTTAAATATAAATATATTTTAAAACCTGCTTGACATTATGTTGGATTAAAACGTGGTTCACCTGTTGGTAACTCGAGAATGACGACTCGTGAGTGGTGTGTTGCAGCCATGGTAAAGGCTACAATCGTATCAAAAAGCCAATGTTTATAAGAAGATTTTCCAAGACTTTAACCTGTCTTAAGAGACACCATTGGAAGCATTGTGCTGAAGTTCAAAAGAAATAAATCAATTAATTTGCTTTGGTTAGAATAAACAGTTTGAAGTATGATGGAAGGTAAATTAATTGAGGAGTTATTGTCAATCATGGTAGAATATCTGAGGAGACATATTGTATGTCAAGCAGTCTTGTTGTAATCAAAGTCCACGATCAGCTGCCACCACGATTAGGATACAACATTATAATCCATCATCATGATCCACTGCTGCCATTATGATCCACCATCAGCTGCCACAAACCTGCCTGTCTGTGTGAAAAGGCCCAAAATTAGCCATCTCATCAGGAAAACATAAAGAAACCCATGTGTTGGTGTAAAGATTCATAGAAATATCAAGCCATTTTACAGAGGAATTTTATGTGATGAACATTTGTACACACTGTATTCTGCAGGAAGTAGATGATCCCAAGCACACTTCCATGTGAACCATAGCTTGGTTAAGGAATCATTCCAGGAATGTCCTGGAGGTTGGTGGCTGGTGGTGGTCCACTGTCTCTGGGTTTAAAGCCCATCAAAAACTTTGGTTGGATTTAAAGAAAGTAGTTACAGCCATGAAACCTCAAAGAACCAGAAGCTTTTGCACAAGAAGAATGGGTGGGATGAAGGAGATCACCGGCTTCCAGAGGAGAGGTGGGGGAGCAGCTGGGAATGAACGACGTGCGAACGAGCTGAACACGTTCTTCAATAGGTTCAAC